TGCGCTCACAGGCTGAGCGCGGTGTGGGTGACACCACACCAAGGGTTGCGATCCCCTTACTAGTCACGAAAAAAGACAAAAAAAAAAAAAAAGATGACTGGTAAGGGGATCTCAACCCTTGACTTGGTGTTGTCAGCACCACGCTCTCCCAAGTGAGCTAACCGGCCACCCCTATATGGGATCCAAACCCGTGGCATTGGTGCTATCAGCACCACGCTCTCCCAAGTGAGCCACGGGCCAGCCCCAGCCCCATTTTTTTGAGGGGAAACTGAGGCTCACAGCAGTCAAGCCCCTTGGCCGAGGGCAGCCCTGAGTGGACTCACCGGGATTCGAGTCAGGTCTGCCTGTCTCTGCAGCAGGCGCTCCAACCACTCTCCTGCACTACCCCCACCTTGTGCTCACCAGAGCCCGGGCCCTGTGGGTCTGCCAGTGCCTGCGCGCTGCTTACCTGCTCGGGTCAGAGAGGGTATGGTTCCCAGTGAGAGGGCCCGGCTGAGGCGGCCTGGCAGTGAGGACGGTGACACCCGCCGGGGAGTCCGGAACAGCTGCTGGTTGGTGAGTGGCAGGAGGCCGGGCGGGGTGGGGAGGAACAGGGATGGTGAAGAGCCTCCGACACTCGGGCACGGGACGGCCAGGCTGGGGCTGCTGGGGAAGAGGCCAGTGGAGTCTCCTAGGAAGTACCTGCAAGGGCCCATCGGGCACAGCAGAGAGGAACATGGTCAGCCTGGAAGGTTCTGGAGGCAGCCTCTGCATAACGGGCCCGTCCCCTCTCCCACGGTGCAGGTGGGGGCCTGAGTCGGGGTCCCAGAGGAGGCGTGCGTTAGTTGAAGCAGAAAAGCGGTCCGACCACACTCACGCCATTAGGAGCGGGTGGCTGGGAGGTGCCAGCGTGACCACCCCTCCCTGCATGCCCCCTCCGACCCCCTCAGGCTCACAGCAAACTATTTCCACTACGAGTCTCGGTATTAAAGTGACACTGTCTCCCTCGCCGACCTCACGCCAACCCCTTCGCCTTGAAGCAAAACTGCCCAGCCCCGTGCCAGGCACTCAGTGAAGGTGAACGGGCTCAGACTCCTCCTTCCATGCCCGTCCCGTGCCTGGAGCCTCCCGACAGAGCGGCCGAGCTCAGAGACGCCCTGGCTGGTCTCTCAGGCTTGGGCCTCGGGGAGTGAGGCCATGGCAGAGCTGGGGAGCCCTCCGCTCCCAGGTACACGATTCCTGGAAGTCCCACTGCTGCGCTGCCCGTGGGAGGCACCTCTCGTCTGTGGTCTTGGACACTGGAAACTCCTCCAGCCCCTTGTAGAGCAGATGGGGAGGTGACCAGGCTTGGGAATCCCCTGGAAGAGGTTCTCGTGGGACACACACCAAACTCAAACTTAGAAAAGACCTGAAAACGACTGCAAGGCTGCCCGAAAGACAGAAGGTGACAGTGTCTCTTTAACTTGAGAATGGTACGAATCACGCAACAGGACCCGAGGGCCCCAAGCCAGAATGTCAACCATGCTTCTGATTAAGGCACCCGATTACAGAAGGGAGAGAGGGATGGAGGCAGTTAATGCATTAGTCTGCCATCTGGGCAGAGCTGTGGGGTCCAGCCTTACCTGGGTCCCAAGGGACAATGAGCCCAGCAGACAATGTGCTGACGAGCAGGCAGGCTGGCTCAGGCCCTGCAGCGAGTGGGGGCTGGCTAAGGTACCCGCACCCATCATGACCGAATGCCCGGGCGAGTGCTAGCCAAGCTATGTGCCACTAATTTCCCAATTATTTTTCACCTCCCCTGTCCCTTTAAAAAGGTTATTATAAGGCACATATGGGGTCAGCTATTGACTTCCTGGAGAATCATGGGAACTTTTTAATGCCTTCTAAAGTACCAGGAGGCCACTTTGGAACCAAAGGTGGGGCTCTGTGTTTGGGAATCTGGACTCAAGGCAGGAGCTCGTCAAGCAAATCTGCACGTGGACCTGGACAATCGGGCCCCAGGCTGGGCGCACCCCCAATCTGCCCACTGACTCGTCCTTCCTGCTGACCTGTGTGACGTCTACTTCCTCAAGGCTCTGGGGAAGGTTCCACTTCGAACCTAAGACTTTGAGTTGCCACTTTAGAATTGTGACACCATTCAGCAGGACAGTGCTGCTACCTCAGGGAATGGCCCGGAGAGGAGGACACTTGCAGGCACTGCAGGGGCAGTGAAGGTGTGGCTGGAACCTCTGGGCAATTTGCTCTGATCACACATGAACCTCCCAGGCCCCCCGCTGGGGTGTCTGCAGGGGGAGCAGCCTGGCAGCAGTGGGGCCAGGGGGCAGGAACGCTTGCCAAGGCCTCCAGCAGATGGCAGTGGACTCTGCAGGGGGCTCCCTGTATACACCCGCTCCGGGCGCCGTGCAGGCACAGCCAGGGTTGGCCATGGATGACCCTGCAGCAGGCTGGCGGGTCGGGGGCCCCGGGACTAGCGAGCACTGTTGGGGACATAGGGAGAGGAGACGGTGAGCTCTGGAATGAGCGCTGGGCCTCCCCAGAGCTTCCCTTTTCATGGCTCCTGCTCACACTGGGGGCCGCCCCAGTGCTTGAAACCTGAGTCTCCTGTCAAGCTGGCATAGGTGCTGTTCCTAATTTAGGTGCCACTGACAATATTGGCATTGTGGGGTTTACATCACTCAATGAGTGGATCTCAGAAGGTGCCCAGAGTGAGTTCTCACAGAAACTTGGTGTGAGTGTCCCCCACCCCCTTAAAGGAGTCCAACTTCTGTCTGGCTCCAAATTTCCTTCGGTGAGAGATGTCCCCCAACTGCCCGGCACCCTCAAACTACATCTCAGGGTCTAAGAGTCC